ACTAGAATCTTCAAAAAATTGTCTTGATGTCAGTATTTTTAAAAATAGATTGACTTGAATATTTTAATAAATTTCAGCATTTTTAAAAACGAAGTATTTTTTATGAAATATTTCCTTTTTATCCCAATTTAGAATAGTACCTCTAGATGTATGATCATGTCAATACTATCTGATAGTTAAATTCATTTTGATTTTTTTGTCTAATAAATGTTTCCTATCTAATATGTTTGCTTTATAATATACAAACACACAAATATGTTTTTTCTTTTATATTTTAAGAAAACTTAAATTACAAGTAAAACAATATTTTGATACATATAAAAGAATAACTAATAATAATGTTACATGATAAATTGACAAATACTAAATGAATCACTGTTTTATGTCAAGTCGGTTGAATGTTTTGTTGTATTTGAGGGAGTTGCACTAGCTTGGAACTTTGAATGCAAATATTTTAACCCATATAGTTACAAAGATTTTGTGTATCAAGTTATAATGCATATACAAATGACTAATTTCTTTATTTTTACATTCAATAAAAGCCAGTAATGATTCAAAGCTAGTGATTTTGTTCTCTACTGGACCTAAAGCAGGAATGTATATATTTTGTAATTTATACACATATTTCTGTGAGAAGCAAAGAAGGGAGATAACCTGTGAGCTGTTTACAGTGGCATTCTTCCATGGACACTAGCGTTTTAGATAAGTTTATTTTTGTCTATTTTACGTAAGATTTTTGATCACTTAAAACACTCATGTAAAAAAAAGGATTTTTGTTGTTGCTGTGTTGCTATTTTTTTTTTCAAATTCCATTCTAAAAACTCATGAACCATACATTTACAATTTTCTGCATTTCAACAGGTATAATGAAGATTAATTTTAAGCAACAAAACCATAGATCAGATATAATTCTGCATCTGGGAAATTCACACAAGTTTTTTCAAAAGATGCCAAAACATTCTTGCAAGTCATGTCGCGGGTATGGTACAACATGCTGGGTTAACTAGACAGACTGATGTCTTGATGAAGATTTCACATGTTAAATTCTATTGGAATGAAAGGAAGGATTGTAAAGCTCAAATAAGTTATGCACTTTTTACAAATTCAAAACAATCACAAAAGCTTTGGGAAAGCTGACACAGGAGAACAGGAAATGAATAACTGAGTAATAGGTAGTAAGTATGTTTCAAAGTCATTCCCATACAGTAAACTGAATATCTTGCTGAAATATGTTTATAAATTGCAATATATGACAAGAAGAAAACAATACCATACCATATTATATCTTATAATCTATGACTTTTTCATTATTTTCTTGTGATGTCAAAATATGTCATATTTTATGACTTCATATTGTTATACGATAAATAAGGATATCATTCATCACAACCTGTCATAGATATAATACTAACTACGTATCAAACCCTGTCAATGTGTTATATCTATCAAACCCTGTCAATGTGTTATATCTATCAAACCCTGTCAATGTGTTATATTTATCAAACCCTGTCAATGTGTTATATCTATCAAACCCTGTCAATGTGTTATATATATCAAACCATGTCAATGTGTTATATCTATCAAACCCTGTCAATGTGTTATATCTATCAAACCCTGTCAAAGTATATATATCTATCAAACCCTGTCAATGTGTTATATCTATCAAACCCAGTCAATGTGTTATATATCAATCAAACCCTGTCAATGAGTTATATATCTATCAAACACTGTCAATGTGTTTATATCTATCAAACATGTGTTATATCTATCAACCCTGTCAATGTGTTAAATATATCAAACCCTGACAATGTGTTATATATATATAAAACCCTGTCAATGTGTTAAATATATCAAACCATGTCAATGTGTTATATCTGTCAAACCCTGTCAATGTTTTATATATCTATCAAACCATGTCAATGGGTTATATCTATCAAACCCTGTAAATGTGTTATATCTATCAACCCCTGTCAATGTGTTATTTCTATCAAACCCTGTCAGTGTGTTATATATCTATCTAACCCTGTCAATGTGTTATAACTATCAAACCCTGTCAAAGTATATATATTTATCAAACCCTGTCAATTTATATATATCTATCAAACCATGTCAATGTGTTATATCTGTCAAACCCTGTCAAAGTGTTATATATCTATCAACCCCTTTCCATGTGTTATATCTATCACACCCTGTCAATGTGTTAAATATATCAAACCATGTCAATGTGTTATATAACTATCAGACCCAGTCAATGTGTTATATATATCAAACACTGTCAATATGTTATATTTCTATCAAACCCTGGTAAAGTATATATATCTATCAAACCATGTCAATGTGTTATAACTATCAAACCCTGTCAATTTATATATATCTATCAAACCATGTCAATGTGTTATCTCTATCAAACCCTGTCAGTGTGTTATATATCTATCAAACCATGTCAATGTGTTATATAACTATCAAACCCCGTCAATGTGTTATATATCAATCAAACCCTGTCAATGTTTTATATATCTATCAAACCATGTCAATGTGTTATATCTACCAAACCCTGTCAATGTGGTATATATCTATCAAACCATGTCAATGTGTTATATAACTATCAGACCCAGTCAATGTGTTATATATCTATCAAACCCTGTCAATGTGTTAAATATATCAAACCCTGTCAATGTGTTATATATCTATCAAACCCTGTCAATGTATATATATCTATCAAACCCTATCAATGTGTTAAATATATCAATCCCTGTCAATGTGTTATATATATCAAACCCTGTCAATGCGTTATATATCTATCAAACCCTGTCAATGTGTTATATATCTATCAAATCCAGTCAATGTGTTATATATCTATCAAACCCTGTCAATGTGTTATATCTATCAACCCTGTCAATGTGTTATATCTATCAAACACTGTCAATGTGTTATATCTATCAAACACTGTCAATGTGTTTATATCTATCAAACCCTGCCAATGTGTTATATATCTATCAAACCCTGTCAATGTGTTATATATCTATCAAACCCTGTTAATGTGTTATATATCTATCAAACCCTGTCAATGTTTTATATCTATCAAACCCTGTCAATGTGTTATATCTATCAAACCCTGTCAATGTGTTATATATCTATCAACCCCTGTCAATGTGTTATATATCTATCAAAACCTGTTTATGTGTTATATATCTATCAAACCCTGTCAATATGTTATATATCTATCAAACCCTGTCAATGTGTTATATCTATCAAACACTGTCAATGTGTTTATATCTATCAAACTGATAAATGATCCATGATCCTATTGATACCTAATAGAAACATAATATTTCATACATTGACTACTTAAATATATGTCGAAGTAATTCTTAATCCGACACTGTTAACATGCAATAAGTAAGGATTGACCTTCATTTTGATGGCGTGTACAGTAGTATGAATGCAGTTGGCAACAAACAGATTCTATGGTGCACTTTAAAGAATATGTTCATTGCCAACTGCGTTCATAATAGCGCATCATAGAATATGTTCATTGCCAACTGCTTTCATACTACCATATATGCCGTCAAAATGAAGATCAATCTTATATTTACATCCAAAAAGGTTTTAAATGCTATTAAACAAAGAAAAACTTGTTGAAGCGGGTTGCTGCGATGGTGACTACTGTAGCCGTGGTAGTAGGATAATATAGTTCCAGTGAATCTACATCAATATGAGTAAATTAAGAAAATACACAGTGAACAATGCTATTTTTCTACCTTTCATAGCTTTTAAATGAAGTAAAGTAACGTGAGTAGCCCTTTGAACATTTTTATTCATTTATAACGGTTGTTATGTAGGCGCATTGACACACTGCTTATGAAGTGACGCGGTCGAATGCATTCCCGGAATAAGAAGTTTGCAAGCATTCTTTTGTTAAAGAAACCAAGTAATGGTTGTCATGGGACTGTTATCTCGCAGAAGCATGAAACAACTATCAATCTGTTGAGACTTTTCTTTGCGTATACCCTAATCTTTACACTGTCAGAGTTTAATATGCTGAATAAGGGAGAGATAGATGTAAATGTATAGTTATGCAACTGTTCAAATGCTATCTATGTAAAAGATAAATAAGATAATATCTTTCCAACAGTTTAAGGTGCAATATTAAAATATAACTTTTAAGATACTGGTTATGTATGATAAATGTGTATATGACTTTTGCAGATCAAATGTCAAGCTGGTGCAACCCTTCTCATTCTTGGATATTGTAAATTACAGGTCTGGGTATGTATTACTAGTGGGTATGATAATCTAACTCAAATAGCATAACCAATAACATCACCTAAACTTCATTCCACTCCAGCCCAACCTCCATACTTCAGGGGTTACGCTCACTTTCGCTGACTGTACCCCTGGAATATGTCATAGCAAAATCGAAGGCTCAGTGTGCAGCACCTTGTGGATGAGACAAGAAGACTAGTTGATCCTTTGATGAACATCAAAAGAAGCTGTCAGTCACGTAACTGTAAAATTGACTGGCTTTGAAATCAGTGTCGCTCCTCTCTATGCTTCAAATGACAGGTATCATCCTAGTGATTGATCAGGTCTTTGTACAGGAGACCAATCAAATAGATAGCTGTGTCCCTTTGATTTTGCTATGAAATATTCCAGGGGTGCAGAGGGCAAAAGTGAGAGTTACCCCTGGAGTATCAAGGACGACTACAGTCAAGATCACTGCTGGTGAGAGGTTTTAATCCCAATGATCATTTCTCCAGCCAAACGAAAATTAATCAAGATAGAGATCCTTTGTTACCGTTATGAACTTTTGAACTCTAAAGCTTAAGGTGACAGGAGCTTGACCTCTGACCAGGATAAGTTGGTCGTGACAAAAGTGGACAGAAATTTGCATGATGTAGAGGATTATATGTCTCATTTCAGTTAGATTTTACCCGGTGTAGAGAAGTTGGTAGGAAATGCTTGCAAGTATACATACAAATGATTTTGGTCATTATTACCTTGATAACGTCGATGGGGTTAGAGGTGATGGCCCCCGCCAGACCGGCTATTATACTGGCTCTGTAAGAAACACAAAATCTAGTCAGCAAAAAAAGTAATACAATATTAAAATGTGTCACCTCAGTCATTTAGTAATGGGTGACACTGTACAAGCATTGATTTGATTACTTCGAGAAAATGATGTGCATCAAACACTGGAGTTTGTCACAATTACATGTATCACAGTCAAGCCTTGTATCCAGCCACCATTAACCTGGTAGTCAAACTATCCAGCTATCACTGAACTGGTTGTCTTACCATCTAGTCGCTGTTTCAGGGACAAATTGGTCTTTTTCTATTACAAAAATATGTCCTTTAACTCAGCCAACTCACAATTGAGTGACTCTTATAAGGAACAAAATGTCTGGGAATAAATGTGAGCTGGACTATTAATGATTAATAGACTGTTCATGCATTTTACTAAACGAAAATTCCTAAATTTTTACAAATAATATCATACTGTATAATAGCAATCTTTTGTGCAGTTTTATTTTTCCTTTTTCGCCTTCTGTGATAAAGGTGAATTTACTGTTAACCCTATGTAACTTTAGTAGACTCTACCTTGCATTGATATGGACGAGTCCATTATGGTCTACAGTGGTGAAAGGGTTAGAGAGAATTTAAGTAATCAACATAATATACAAAGTAATGAAATGTGATTTGCAAAATTTACGGAAAAAAAAGAAATAACTAGGACAGATCACTAATACGTACATGAAATGTGTAAATATTGTGTCACCCAGTAGGCCATGATTTATGATGTATTTCTTGCTTCTGTCGTAGACTGGAAGTTCTACACCGGCTACAACAGCTGCCCGCTGGGACGTTGGAACGACGCCCTGTCACAAAGAAAAACAGTCTGTAAGGAATATTGGACGATTATAGTCACAAATGTATAAATTTTAAAACAACTATTACACCATAAGGATATGATCAAATCATAATCTCTTTGTATCATAGGTCACATGATAAAAATCACTATTCACAGATAATGGTCTTGTGTTGTCCTTGCCTCCCAACATATAATAACCCTGTATGTTTTGTCCTTGACAACCAACATATAATAACCTTGTCGGTGTTGTCCTTGATAACAACATATAATAACCTTGTCTGTGTTGTCCTTGACAACCAACATATAATAACCTTGTCTGTTTTGTCATTGACAACCAACATATAATAACCTTGTCTGTGTTGTCCTTGACAACCAACATATAATAACCGTGTCTGTTTTGTCCTTGACACCAACATATAATAACCTTGTCTGTTTTGTCATTGACAACCAACATATAATATCCTTGTCTGTTTTGTCATTGACAACCAACATATAATATCCTTGTCTGTGTTGTCCTTGACAACCAAAATATAATAACCTTGTCTGTTTTGTCCTTGACAACAACATATAATAACCTTGTCTGTTTTGTCCTTGACAACCAATATATAATAAACCTGTCTGTTTTGTCCTTGACAACAATATATAATAACCTTGTCTGTTTTGTCCTTGACAACCAACATATAATAACCTTGTCTGTGTTGTCCTTGACAACCAAAATATAATAACCCTGTCTGTTTTGTCCTTGACAACAATATATAATAGCCTTGTCTGTTTTGTCCTTGACAACCAACATATAATAAACTTGTCTGTGTTGTCCTTGACAACCAAAATATAATAACCTTGTCTGTGTTGTCCTTGACAACAACATATAATAACCTCGTCTGTGTTGTCCTTGACAACCAAAATATAATAACCTTGTCTGTGTTGACCTTAACAACCAACATATAATAACCTTGTCTGTGTTGTCCTTGACAACAACATAAAATAACCTTGTCTGTTTTGTCCTTGACAACCAACATATAATAACCTTGTCTGTGTTGTCCTTGACAACCAAAATATAATAACCTTGTCTGTGTTGACCTTGACAACCAACATGTGATGACAAAAGATGTACAGTTCTATCAGCCAAAGTCCCTGGGCTAGTAAATATTATGTTGGAATGGGGGAAAAGTGTGATATCACCCTGAATATGAAATTGTAACTACGGGAAGACTCTTGTTAGTGTTGTCACCAGCAAGTCTTAACCTTGAAAATAATCATCTGTCAGCCATTAATAACAGTTTGAGTACACTTTCTTACTATACTCATCGTGTTTCATTAATGCAGTATACTTTTACACATACTTGCTGTAAACCTCATGTATCCTTTGTATGGTTGATTGTTACACTTACCCGCCATAGTCCTTTTGTGCCTTCTGTTTGGTAAATGTTTAAGAAGGCTCTTGGTAATGGAGATCGCTTTTCCTTGCTACTGTCAGCTTGCATTCTCACCTAGAACATTAATTAGTTACATTTGATCATTCATGTTGCAGTGGAGAGATTAATAGAATCTCTCACCCCCTTGGGGGGGAGAGATAGGGGAATCTCAACCCAAGGGGGAAGATTCTTAAGTTACCAAACTTGAGGTTTTACCGACTGTCAATGATTAGGGACCCTAGACTCCCACTCACCTCTTCATTAACCGGGGGTTTACCAGATCTTACCTTGAGGACCAGATCTTACCTTGAGGACCAGGGCCCACTTGTATAAAACATCTCAACTCTTGAGATTTCCTCAAGTCTAAGATTTCCCATAGACAATACACTGCTTGAGATTTTCCTTAACTTTGAGATGTTTTATACAAGTGGGCCCAGATCTTACCTGGAGGACCAGATCTTACCTTGAGGACCAGATCTTACCTTGAGGACCAGATCTTACCTGGAGGACCAGATCTTACCTGGAGGACCAGATCTTACCTTGAGGACATCTGTAGGGTTGGCCACGGCACTAGACACCACTCCTGCCACCACACCACAAAACATGTTGAGCATGAGTGTCTCATCTGAAAGTGGAGGTTAAAAGTCATGTAAGTGAAGCTGAGGTCAAGGTTATTCAAAGGTCAAACACATAAAGCAGAGGCCAAAGTTAGTACAAGTTTATGTAAAACGGTAAGATCATCAGAACATATTCATTTCACTTTGATTTGTTTAGAATTATATAAGTAAGACCTAATATCTTGTGGTAAAATAACAAAATCAGTATGATTTGTTACACTTTCCAGGATTGTGTTTTACTTGGACAACAATTGTGCTACTGACTTCTATGTGTTCATCCCTTACCTGGCCAAAACAGCTCAATATTTGTTAAATCATGTGTGAAACCCTCTGCTTATCCATATCAAATATTGCAACATATATCATAATGCTTTTATCAAACACTTAAATTAATCACATTAAAGATTCCTACCATCTTAAGTACCAGGTAATTACAATACTTCTGGACTCTACACCGATAATAAAGTGTGACAGTGGATTAATCACCAAAGAAAATAATTAAGGTTTAAAGTAATGACACTCACCTTTAGGATTTTTCACAATAGCCCGTTTAAGAGAATGATAAATGCCTATCTTGATTGTACCATAGGTAGCCTGCCTCAACAATGCCGGTGCAATTCTGAAATATATCAACACAATTTCATTGAAATGGGCAAAACTTATAAGTCTTACATAATTAAATCTTTCAGTTTAAAAATATCTCTATTGTTGTAAATGTTCAAGAGAAGCACGAACTAAGTGGTACCAGGATTTGACAGTATCCCAGCCAAGTATTGAGATCACACACATCAAGCAGGGTTTGTGCTAAGTAATCAATAAATGACGTACGTAACTTTTGAGTCTTTTGTAGGCGTAAAGGAGGTCATTGTTTTTCACTGCCTCAGCTAAAACTTAAATCCGGGACCCCTGGTAGGAAGCGGCTAGTAACTATATATACTGTAAAAGGAGTTTTTTCGTCGTCCACAATTTTCATGGATTTGTTAAAATGTTGTCAATTTTAACGTTGTGGGCTGTATTTTTGTGGATTTTAATCTAAGTGGAACAAAATGCTAGGGTACTGATAAATTTTTCTATTAATTTTGTGGCCTTTATTTTTTGTGTGTGAGAAAATCATTCCAGCAAAAGTAAGAATGTCACCAAAAAAATGACCTTTACAGTGTTATAACTTCCCCTCAGTGTTAGATTTACCCTCGAAAGGGTACAACATCCGCTTCGAGCAAACTTTGTATTTGTGTAAGATATGTAATTTCTTTAATAACTATCTACAGAAAGTATTTCAATAGCTAATGCTTCTATAGAAATTTCCTCTTAAAATTGACAAATAGAGCGTAACAGCTTGCTACATTTATCACTACCAGTCAACCATAACCACTAAAACTTTGTGTGTGGGTGCCCAAATGTACAGTATAGGCAGAGTCAGTGGACCAGATGACCTATATCTGAATCCTGTAGGGTGGTGGAGTGCTGTGATGGAGCAGGCTGTAAACCATCAGTTTCACACAAACACCAGATAATATAAACTTTGAGAACATAATCTCACTAAAGTCCCAAAGGCCAAATCATGAAACCATACTTGCTGTTTACTTATATTTCTTAAAAACAGTTTATGCATATCAAAAGGGTGAAACATATATATACTAGCGGAAAAAAGAAACTGTGCATGCGGAGAATTGTTATAGAACATGTATTACCAACTGTACATATACATGAAAATTCACACACATGACCGAGTATGACACATACACACTATCCAAGTGTCATTGACGGTTTTTCCCGTGCAGTTTCCTCTCTATAGGCGTTGAACAGTTTGCTCGTTTTTCTCGTCCAGCCATCCAATTCGACAATGAAAGTTAATTTTCAACTGTTGGGTCACTCTGTTGAGACCAGTGAACAGTAAAAACAGCATTATAACGTTTTAATTTGTCATTAATGCTATGCCAAGGCTCAATGAAAATGACCGCCTCCTGATTATTGGTATGCTTCAAGCTGGTATGGGCCAAGCCGTTGTCTTTATACACGTTTTCATGTCCATCGAAACACAATCCGGGATTTGTGGAGACGACATCAACAGTTTGGCCACTTCAGCGATCGACCTCGTGTGACGTCACGTCAACAGGACAACCATATTCAGCTTGTCCATTTGAGAAATCGCTTCCAAACCGCAACTTTGACTGCATGGACAATCCCTGGGTTGCTACCAATAAGCCCAAGAAGTGTACGGAACCGATTGCATGAACAAGCTATCCGTCCGCGACGTCCTGCAATCTGCCAAGTTCTTCTGCCACGTCAACGTGTAGTACGTCTGGACTGGTGCAGAAGGCATCTGCGATTTACTCGACGGGATTGGGCAGGCATTTTGTTTACGGAAGAGTCGCGAGTCCACCTGGATAGTAGCGACGGCCGTTTTAGAGTGTATCGTCGCGTTGGAGAACGTTGCCGTGACGCGTGTGTGGTACAACGACGTTCTTTCGGCGAAGCAGCATTATGATTTTGGGCGGCATCACAGCCAACGGGAGAACGCAACCACCCTGGTGGTTGTTAACGGGAATTTGAACGCGCTACATTACCGTGACGAGATCCCCGGACCCAAGTCGTTCCATTCGTGCAAGGGCAGCAACGTCACATTACGCTTCAGCAGGACAACGCCAGGCCACACACAGTTCGTGTCGCTATGGACTTTCTGGCCCAGCAGAACGTTGACGTGTTGCCCTGGCCTGCTGTATCCTCCGATCTGTCGGCCATTGAACACGTCTGGGATGAAATGAACGCAGATTACGGGCATCACCTAATCAACCGGTGACGTTGGCTGATTTGCCTGCAGCGTTGGTACAGATCTGGAATGCCATCCCACAAGCATTCTTGAACCATCTGATAGGCTCCATGCGTCGATGTCGCCATGCTTACATTCAGGCAAACGGTGGACATACAAGGTATCAACTTTGTGAACTCAGTATTGACCCCTGCTGTGTTTACGTCACTCCTGAGCGAAACTTATTGATTCCATAACATGGAAAATGGAATGCAACTGTTAATAAATAACAAATAAATTGTCCCTGAAAACCTTGTTGTTCTACATCATACACATTTATTTTTATAACACATTTTAGGCATGCACAGTCTCTTTTTTCCTCTAGTATATATATATTCAGAATGACAGCCGACGATGCTTCACTAGTGGTAGTTATTTGAAGGATTACTTCAACTGGGGCCTTCCTGCTCCCAGGGCTGGCGCTCATGAAACACTCTGTATTTTGAGCCCCTTTAGAAAAAGGTTGAAATCCCTGAAACTGACAGAGTTGTTGTCTTTTAAATATTACCAACTATTTGCCTTATCATTGATCAGACCCCTTTGATCCCAGACGGGACACACCTTCATTTATACAATTTTCTTTCCCTTGGCACAGGGATCCTTAAAAACAAATTTGCTAAACATTCCTTTACCTTGAGTAGGACCTTACTCTCTCTCCCAATGGGGGAAGTGGGCAGCTTGCTTTTACACATTGTATGGTACATTATTGTGTCCACTTGGTATCAAATATTTCAAACCTCAGAAAGAAAACTGCTGTAAATTCTCACCCGTTATACAGCGCTCTGCCGCCCTCTTCTTTGGCTATTCGGACCAGGCCATGTATCATGCCACGGTAGCGCAGCTCACGGTTGTGGACATCTATCTTCTGGCCCTGGACCTGTAACCTTGTCTTGGTGGTATCAGCGGGAAAAGTCCCTGAAATTTGTAAACAGAATTTTATCTTAATATTTTAGAACTTCCGACTATATCCCTTGGATGCTAAGATGAATATGGATTTTACCAGTGAAGGGTAATAGTGTAACTGGGGTGTGAGTTTAAAGTATGGTAGAATGCCAGTAATAGACACTAACTTATGTTAAATGGAACATAAAATAATTGAGCTTCAAAAGCGAGTTTTACATTTTAAAAGTTCATTTGTTTGTTTGAGTTTTACGTCCTATTTACAGCTATGGTCATTTAGGATGTGCGAGGTTTTGGTGGTGGAGGAAAGCCAGAGTTCCTGGAGAAGAACCAGCAACATACCGCCAGTACCTGGCGACTGCCACACAGAGGTATCGACCCCACGAACTAGTGGTAGCAGAATGTCAGACGCCTTAACCACTTGGCCAACGCAGCCCTTTTTAAAAGTTCAAAATTAACAAGTGTTCAATATAGCTTATAAACAATGGTAATGAGTTTGGGACCTTCCTTCAACTGCAATTTACTATGACATTGTTGAGTGATTGACATCTGTATTTTACAACTGATGAGACAGGCCACAGTATGAATTTGTTTCAGCAGATACCAGTTTGCTAGATGATAGCCAAAATCACACAGCTGTATACTTACTGCCCTATATCAAAATATTATTTTATAACACTTTAAGTATTATTCCTACAAAACCTAGCCTCCATTTTGTTTTCACAGTACAGTATACTGAGGATGAATGTTCATAACAGATGAGCCGAAAGTCAAAGGGCGAGAACCGTCAAAATACCAGGTTCCATACTTCAGGATTAAAGCCTATGCAGTATACCTATGACATGCATCAAAGTAATTACACAGGGGCTATTGTGTGGAAAATTAGATAATGTATGATGTCGTCTGCAAATTTCATTTTCCCCTTGACAGCCACAGACACTAAACCTGCATACATTAACCCACCAACAGAACTTACTACGGTTTTCTATTTATAATTCTGGAATTGGGCCCAAGGCTTAGCGAGGTATTGGAAAACTACATCTAAATTTTCAATTTATAAGTATTATCAAAAGTATAACTTTTCTATCTAAATATTATTTAAAAGGACAAGTAATCTTCATTTAACCAAAGGTTATTTACAATGAACAAGCAAATTTGTGGAATTTATATCCCCCGCTTGCAAGACATATTGTAGATAAACATTATTGAGGTTAGGTTTTTAACATGAGAGTATAATGCTGTTGAGACATAATGTATAGCTTGAATCTTGAAGGAGAAAAAAAGCCTTATACAGAAGTTGGACTTTTTATTGAACATGTAGGTATCACGGTGTAAATTAATCGTTTAATCCATCAGAGTTCACTAACCTCATTAATTTTCCGTAAATATGCACAAATCACATCGGTTGGCAAACTTAGCATGAGTTGGATGTGCATACGGAATATGGTTGAAATATCTGCACAATATCTTCAGCAAAAATCACACGAAAAACAAAGAGTGCCCGAGATGGGTGGAAAGACAGAGGAACACAAACATTGTTATAAAGTTTGAAGGAATTTAGCTAATATTTGCTAGAGTTATTAAGTGGAAACTGTAGATAATGACGAATTTTCGTTAATCAAGGGGCCATAACTTCGCCAAATGAAGTCTGATTAAAGTGGTTGTCAAACTTGGCTGAGCCCTTAAGGTGTTGAATCCTGTTACCAAGTTTGAAGACAATAGGATAATATTTGCGAGAGTTAATGAACAGAAACGGCAGATAATGATGTTTTTCGTTGTTCAAGGAGCCATAACTCCGCCAAATAAAGTCCGCTGAAAGTGGTCATCGAACTTGGCTGAGAGGAAAATCGGTTAATATTTGTTGCAGTTATTGCACGGAAACGAAGCGTGACAGACCGACAAACCCAAATTAATATCCCCTGTTTCGGTGAAAGCGGGAGATAAAAAATTACATGCATCGTAAACAGAGTAGACAAATTGAAATTTTAAGCCTTTTTTCTAATTACCATTTGGATTTTTTTGGATAACATTAAGTAATGTGATGTAACAAGAAGTAAAGACTCATAGGTAATCATTACCGGTATACCACTTTGTTTTTCTCTGTTAAAATGGTTTTTACATGAAAGGTAAACTTGTTTACGTGTAGAAACTACACAAAGAAATAGTTTTTTGAATGATGAACAGTGATATATACAATATTAGTTGAGGAATAAAAGAGGTGTCAGAATAACTAAGTAATATGATCAACTTCAGGTATCTGTTTAATTGTAAACAACCTGCATGCTGAAATGTTGTTCAACATTTTCCATGTTTAATGGTGTAGAAGATACAGATCACTATGACCAAGTTACGGTACACAACTAGACAGCCTGGGCAGTTTGTTGAGTGTTTATGATATTAACCACAAAGAACTAATGGGTATGGCTCTTAGGACCACTTGTGTTTCTGCTGTCATCCTAAGAAAAGATAGGGTAGGTAGGTCGGCAATTTTTTTTTAATCTAAAAAATATTTTTACTATGCTTATATCTATATAGAGTAGGAGTTCTGACTTTAACAGTGCATATCACTAAATGCCAATAAAAACTTAAGGGTAGACACAAAAATCTAGGGTAGGTAGGGTTAGCAGAAACACAAGATTGTTTTTATTTGGCCTAAAGTCTTTTTCTTTCCCATTTGGTGGAGTGGAAGTGTTATTTATCCTGTTATTATTTTGTAGCAATAGACACAAATTTGATTGTAGGAGAATAATATCCGTCTTCTAATTATACATTGTAGTGTGAAACAAAACTTCACACATTAAGGATACCTGTTCAAGTGCAAGTGCACTGCCATTTCCACTATATAAATTAACCTCCCCTTAATCACATTTAGGCTAGCTAGTACACTTCTGTTGACCAGGTAATTAAATCGGTTACAGCTATAATATACAAATGCGACGTCCAGGGTCTGAATCCCAGTCTAGACGTCCAGGGTCTGAGTCCCAGTCTAGACGTCCAGGGTCTGAGTCCCAGTCTAGACGTCCAGGGTCTGAGTCCCAGTCTAGACGTCCAGGGTCTGAGTCCCAGTCTAGACGTCCAGGGTCTGAGTCCCAGTCTAGACGTCCAGGGTCTGAGTCCCAGTCTAGACGTCCAGGGTCTGAGTCCCAGTCTAGACGTCCAGGGTCTGAGTCCCAGTCTAGACGTCCAGGGTCTGAGTCCCAGTCTAGACGTCCAGGGTCTGAGTCCCAGTCTAGACACATTCAATGTCTTCTCTCTCACTAGAACACTGTTGTTGATCATATTTGGTTTCTTTCAACTTTATTATCTTTCATAAAAGTCCTGTAAGGTATGGTTTTCTTTTCAGAAATAATTTCAAGGCTACAGTCATCCCAGAAAAAAACAGTTTCCAATACTTTATTACATGTAGTTACAGTTTTTGGCAGTGGTACAAGCATCCTTAATTTGATGATACAGCAGATTAAACTTATTTGATAGGCACCAAAATTGTCACTCAGGAACAAATTTCTTTTAACGTTCAGTGCAGTGGAAAGTACCGGTCACTGTGACTTACAATGTAGTTACTGGTAGGCTGTGTGAAAACCCTTCATCTCTAGCTGAACTTGCATTAAAATGCGAAGAAATTTTAATTATTATAATAATAATAAGCTGAGTAGACTGGAATAAGCGGAGTCAAGTATCTTGTTCAAGGATACAACACAGTGCCGTGACGTGACTCGAACCTACAATCCTTTGGTCACAAGCCCGACGACCTACCACTAGACTATGGTGCCTCCTGGCCCATGAAACGATTTTGTTTTGTTTTGTGAAGAAGAAAATATAGGTCACTGTAACATAGTTATGGTGAATGAAAAAAGTTTTGCCCCTAAATGTAACAGTTAATGAAAATATAAGAGAAATCTGGCCTGGCGATAATTGTCATTGGTTGACATGTGAAATAAGTACCACAGTCTTTTAAAGACAGAAGAAAGAACTGTATAGATGGAACTTACCCAACTCAGCTGTCATAGACGCCAAACCTCCATATACAAACGCTCGCCAATCAGTCATTCCTAGTAACAGCTTTCCTGGTGGATGGCTGGCGAGATACTGTGATGGTGGAAGCTCAGTCTAGGATTACAATTGTCCTCGTAAACAGATGGGCGTCGGATACAAATCGTCTGTAAATGTACAAATGTGTCAGACTGTAAAATCCAATAGCGTTTGTTATTGTTTGGAGAAAGGTGCTGGGGTAACTATTAGACCATTACTACAGTAACAAATTAGAACAAAGTTAAAACACTCCAACATTTCTAGAAGCTGTAGTAAGTCATGCAGTAAAATTTCACAATTACATTCATAGTTTTTCTACTTCTCTTTGACAGGGGCCTGTGCCATGTACATGTGTTCCTTGGGAAAATATTACCAAGAAAACTTAATTTGGGAAAAGAAAGTGATTTCTGCAATTATTTTGGGAAAATACAGCAAAAAATATGTCAGAAGGGGAAGGAGCTTTTATAAAACTCCAAATTCACCAAAATGTTTTCTTTATAGAAAGAGTTGAGTCATTCTAATGTTTACTGCTGTGAAGAAGCAACATGTATTTAAACAAGAAATTATTCATAGCAGTCTATGGCTTCAACAAGTTTTAGCACATTATAATAACTATCGCCATGCATTTTGTTGTCCCCATGGTATCGAGTAACAGTTGTGAAAGCACACAGGTGGTAGACATGTGTCACCAACAACCACATAACTCATCACAATAAAAGATGATAAAATATAACCAGCCTTTTCAAATATTAATGTAGAAGAATAGTAAGTTATACGGATACACATAAGGTATACGTGAACTGCAGTAGGTATGTTTATACAGGCACACAAGCTCATTCTGTAATGTATACAGACAGATTCTATAATCTGCATACAACCATTACATATATCCACCACTTTCCTTATGAAATCATTATATAAAACAGGGTTAAGTTGGGCCTGGTAAGCCCAGACGGTCTAGACTTCCTTAACAAAGGGACTAATGTATTGCAATCCTCTTACTAATCTCCACTTAGCCCTACACAAGAAACACCACCAACTTTTCCTGTTCTATGAAAAGTTGTGATGTCATTGTATTTATTCCTCATGATGTCAGAATGGCTGATTTTTTTTACAAATCAAAATTGTTTGTGATTCAAGTGGTATTTTTTTTCCTACCAACTAGCTTGACAACCAACTGTAAACTTTGGTTACATTACACAGTTTAAAGTTGATAACCCATGTTTTCTTTGCTGGACTAGTTCCATACCTCTCTGTATGTACTTCAGTTGCTGTAGTATTTCTTGTCCTCATCCAGGATAGGTACCTTTGCTTCAGTTTCAGGTCATAATATATCACGTTACAATTAACAATACTTTGAACTTCCTGGTGAGGTGAAAGAGCTCTAGGCCGTTTGTTGACAACAGATTATCCTACTAACCCTTGAAGATCTGGTACAACACTCAAGAGTTGACTGGGTAAATCTTTCCATGAAATCAAACCAAAAGTAAGATTCCTCGCAGTCAGTTCCCAATATAGCGTATAGAAATTTCTGATCACGTTTTTATTGAATGTGACTTTAACACATTAACAGACAAAAAGTCCATAAAAAGTCCATCAACATCACTACAAATTAAAACAGGACTCTTTACTATTAAATCCTCAGAGTATTTTGTCCACCTATAACATTATTTGGCAGCTGGTGAGCTAGGTCAGTTGTCAGATCTAGATACTAAAGAATACAGGTCTGACGTCGACAGGGATTTACTACCTAAAGAATACACCTTTAAAGTTGGAATACAATTACTTACCCCGGGGTATATTATATTGTAGCCAAATAAAGAGTGATAACTGATTATGGGTATTGCTTTGATTATGAGGCATATACCGTAACAAATTTAAATATATATATACAAATATTAATACAGGAATATCAGGTACAAGGACCTCCAGTTGATCATGGATATTTAGCAATTTAAGAAGTCAAATCATTTTTTTTTTTATATAAAATATTTCTCAAGGGTCCACTGAAAGCCCAGAGTTACATCAAGTAGATTTACAACCCAAACATCTCATCTGTTACATCAGCTGTTTTTACATACATACCCCGGTATATACATCTAAATCTATCTATAGCCATGATATATAAAGATGAAAAAGAAAGAGCTTAGCTTAAACAGCTCTATGTATTTCTTGTGTTTATTTTATCTATATCAAATGTACATATATAACTATTGGTTATATTGGTCAATCGGTCATTTTCCAGTTTGTATACATTTACACTGTACTGATCCATTGCAAACATTGATACAGGTTTGTCATTGTTTTGAGTGTTGAATTAATTCCCTAAGAAATTGACAGGTAATATATAACATGGACTGGAACAGCAAGGTACAATCTAGATCTGTAGATCAGTTAAATGTTTATACATTGTAATTGGATTACTGACGTATGACACCAGTGAAATCAGGCATTATTTTTAACAAAATTTGTATATGGGTAGGTGCTTCGAATTCTGTACTTTGTACTTATAGTGATTTTCAATGAGTTTTTCCACTTTAGTTATTAAGTCAGAGGAGTACAATTCCATTCATCTGAAGCCTGGGGGTCAGTAATAGAGGTCAGGCTACTGGTAAAATTTCCAAAAGTCTTTAGAGGTGTACTATTCTGCTCGCTTGACCAATGGGATAAGTAATAGATAGGCTAGTACACGTATATATTTTTCATTTACAGCTTTAAAATACAAGTAGCATATAGCCTTAATATAAACTTAATTCACACCAACAACACTTTGTCTTTTTAATGAAGCATACTCTCCCACAGTGATCATTAACAGCTGTTTTATATGTAATAAACAATAGATGACATCATATATTCCCACTCTCCCTATTTTGGAGGAGACTCCCGATTTTGAACCCCACTCAAAATATGCCACTTAAAAGTGTTATTTTCCCTAAGGTGTATATATGTTTCATTCTGAGCACACATAATCTCCCCATGGAAATTTCACAAAGTTAGAAAGCATGTGACAATGTTTTCAGAGATTTACACAATTTAGGTAATACAAGTTGATGTTTTATGATTTTAACATAATAACATAATTATGCAAATAAAATGATTTGATAATATGGTAACAATGTATTTTATTCTTGGATATAATTTTTCTGATTTATTTTATCAAGTGAAATTATATCATAGTGAGAAGCAGCTGGATGTTTTAATAATGTTAACTATATGATGATATTTATGTTACTAATGTAGAAACTTGTGATGTTTTAATGAACTTTTTACAAAGTATTTTAGGCAGTACATAATGCACCTAAAATATTAGTAATTTACTGTATGTGGATGATTTTGTATCCATAAATACATTGTACATGCAAGTTATCCATAGAGAGTGTAAACGATTTTCCTTTCCTCCACAAACCTGTATATCTGCACACTGACTAGAAATTTGATTACTAGAAAAAGAACTGTCCATTTGCACTGAACACACCGTAACATATCTTACACACAACTAGAAACATTATTACTAAACATATAACTGCCATCCCTAATTAGTACCAAACATTATGTATCTATACACACGCCATCAGAACACAACACCAAGGTGCCAGGTGTAGAGAACAAATCTACTTCATGACATAATCAGGGTTTATACACCTACCTGGTACATTCCTCATTCAACCCAAACAGAATATATTACATTCAACCCAAACAGAATATATTACATTCAACCCAAACAGAATATATTACATTCAACCCAAACAGAATATATTGCATTCAACCCAAACAGAATATATTACATTCAACCCAAACAGAATATATTACATTCAACTCAAACAGAATATATTACATTCAACTCAAAAGGTACAACCCCTTTCTTATCAATCTAACCAGTCTACTACTATGGTTTTATACAGCATATACATAGCTGTGCAAACTCAAAAATCTTTTGCAAAATATTGATTTGTAAATGGGATGCTAACTCAGACTTGGCACAAATACTCCAAGCTTTTTACACAATTTCAGATGTTTTGTCTGTAAGATTTTGTAGTAACCGGTAAACAGTATAATTGGTAAACAGCATTGTTGGGGTCGTTTAATTATCTATACATATATATACATGTACATTTTGTACATGGTTATGAATAATGTAAGTAAACAATGTCTACACAGCATTTTTTAATAGGCCTTTAGTTATAGGTTTGTCTGTGAGTAGGGTTGTAGAAAATGCAAATTCGTCTGTCAGGTATACAGTCAAACCACAGTCATTAAACATTACGTATAGAGTCAAATTGCAGTCATTAGGCATTACAGTTAACCCTTGCACCCTATATAAATTTAGTAAACTCTTCAATGCTTTGATATGGATGAGTCCATTATGATCTACAGTGGTGAAAGGGTTAATTGAAAACTTGTAAACAACTATAGCTGTTGGTTTCACAAATTAAGAAATTTGCTATGTAACATCAGGGATTTTGCCATGTTGTTAGAGGGTCCCTTTACAGGACCCAGTCCCAATAGAAAATTAGCCCAATATTTTCCCAATCTTAACTTAGATGTTCAAATTTGAGTCAAACTGGACACTTTAAAATGAGAAAATACTTTCCCAATTACATGAAAACACCTATACTGCTTTCCCAATTTGTAGCAAAATACCGTCAAAATTCCCATTCCCAAAACACCTGTCGAAACCCCTGAGCATATACCTTAGGATTTATCATTGTTTGCAGCTAGAATATAAGATTGTATATGTTGGTCAAGGATAAGGATTGTGTTTACATTATATTATGTATACCTCTAATATTATCATTGATAGATGAAGTAATGAGACTACTACTTGTCCCATTGTCCCTTATAATGACCTCTACAACACGGAATGTGACTGACACAGATAAATGATGATGTCAACAAGTTTCTGTCTCTCTGCTACTTATCTATTTTCAATTAGAATAGATCTTGACATCATGCCATATATTATGTTGTTAATGTCAACTGTGACAGCCTTAGGCCAAATATAGATTTTTTTTTTGTACTGGTTATCGTAAATTTTTGTGCATATATATACCCTAAACATTTTTCAAATGCATTACTATTCAATTAGTTTTTCAGACATGTAATAAACAAGAAATAAACCTATTTGTTTGTTTGGTCTTTTAATTTATATTGCCACTTTACAGTTACTGTAAAATAAATCTAAAACAATTTGACAGCAAGCAGGATTTGTTGCAATAAAACAATTTAACCTGGATATAAAATATGCATCCAAAATGCAACATTCAAAGCAGATCTACAAAAAGAGTAAACAGATGTTTCTATGACTATTTTTATCATATCATATTGTGCAGTACAACATTTAACCATCACAAAAATGAAAATGTGAAGTATATTACCCTAGTACCAATTAAAGACAATATAAACAAACTTCCACAACCATCACCAATGAACTGAACTAAATTATAAAACATCTTTAGCCACCGGTGGGTTCATCATAAAGTTACTACACTAAAGTAAAAATGTAAACTACAGTTAACTCTGAGTTCTTCCATCACCTGCTGTCACACAATTTGATCAAATAATAATAATAAAAGGATTTAGGGATAGAAATCTCATGGGCTTAGTTGAGCAACATTTTCATTTTCTGAGTTAATTCATCATTTTGACATGTATACATTTGTAGGGGCGACTTGAAAACCAGATATAACAGCTTATATTGATTTTGTTCACAGCGTAAACTAGTCATATTCAGGGTCTATCACCCTTTTGATACTTATGTAAATTTTAATGAGTTTTTAAACAGATCAAACACTCAGTGGTAGTACAGTATAGGTGTACGGTTACAGTCCAATGAGATGGCACTTTGAGGTACCTGGTATATTAAAATCCCGGTTACAGTCCAATGAGATGGCACTTTGAAGTACCTGGTATATTAAAATGCTGGTTACAGTCCAATAAGATGGCACTTTGATGTATATTAAAATGCAACACAATTTAATTCAAAACCAAAAAAAATCATGTATAAATCCTAAATCATTCAAGATGTCCTTTAATATGTGACAGGGAAGTGGGAATGTTCACCCTGTAACATGTGACAGGGAAGTGGGAATGTTAACCCTTTAACATGTGACAGGGAAGTGGGAATGTTAACCATTTAACATGTGAGTGGGAATGTTCACCCTGTAACATGTGACAGGGAAGTGGGAATGTTAACCCTTTAATATGTGAGTGGCAATGTTCACTCTTTAACATTTGACAGGGAAGTGGGAATGTTCACACTTTAATATGTGACAGGGAAGTGGGAATGTTTACCCTTTAACACGTGACAGGGAAGTGGGAATGTTAACCCTTTATCATGTGACAGGGAAGTGGGAATGTTAACCCTTTAATATGTGACAGGGAAGTGGGAATGTTAACCATTTAACATGTGATAGGGAAGTAGGAATGTTAACCCTTTAACACGTGACAGTGAAGTGG